ATAAATGTAATGTAAAACACCATTTTGTAATGTATTATTAGGAAAACTTTTATTCATGTTATTAAAACAAACATTTCAATTTGAATTTTAAAACTAATCTAATGTGAAGGATGAATTTGATTATTTTTAACAAGTTTGTTAATATCAGGCTCAAATTTACTCAAAAACAGCCGTAAGTCACAGCGTTCGGTGATCTGCAACCGATGTCTCTTTTCAGTTACCAACTTTGCCTCAGTACTAAATCCACGTTCACACAAATACAATGATGAGACTGCTATTAAAAATCGTTGAACTATGGACCAGAATCCAGAGTACAATTGCGGAATTGGCTTTTGTAGACAAAATTCTTGATATCCTTTTTTGAATTTAATTTTTTATTTCCTCGTTCCTTATCAGTTCTATGAGTTCTTCTTCCAGCTGGGTGATCCTGCTGTGTTGACATTTGAAAACGGATCCATCACCCAGTCCGGTATTTCCAATTTCACAATGTCCTGGAATCGTTTTGCGAAATTACTGTGGACGTCCTCCAAATGTTGGCAGTGAACAAACAAGTCGTCGTTGTTTAAGGATACTGCTGACAAATTAGGGAAATTGCGAAACTCACGTCTGCCGATGATACTATTCTTGTATAAGAGCAATTTGGCTACAAAAGCAGCAATGAGATTTTTTATTTTAATCAAATTCAAGTCGTCACCTTGAAGTTGGAGACTGACATCATTAAATAGTTTATACGAGATATCATTCTTTGAAGTGATGAGGTTGTCGTGCAATTCTTTGGCTTTGTTTTCTAAAAATAAAGAGTTAAATCTGTCTGTTTAAAATCTGTTTTTCCGTTAACCAGCTGTCGCAAATAAATTGTAAAATCGAGTCAGACAGTTACCTCTTGACAATCAACGCACTTCTGTGTGGAATAGCAATCGGTTGATTAGCAACACAAAGCTGATTAAAAAATCTGTCATTTAAAGAGCTGTTTCGGATTTTATTGACTGCTTTAATGATATATTATTGCAGTGATTGAGAGAGGAGCTCACTCAAATGTTTAGCAACCAAATGTTGCCTATGAATGACGCAATGTATATCGAGCACATCTAGAATTTTAGTTTTTAAGTACGCTATGAAGCCTTTGTGACGTCCTGTGGAATTTCTTTCTTATCACAAAATATTTCCAGTGTATTATATATGGTTTCCCCTTTTGTATCCATAGTTCTTGATATATTTTCTCATTTTTAATAAACCTCACGTATGACAACAACAATGCTTCATTGGTTGGTAAAGTGAACTCATCTAACTGAATTGAGAATTTAGAAGTCTTCAGATGATTGCACAGTGACTCTTCAATGTTTTCAGCCATCTCATCAATTCGTCTTTGCACGAAACTATTGCTCAAAGGAATTTTTTGGATAATATCTGCCGTTTCTTCTTTTTTGCTTCCAACATAATTTTGTCTACAAAAATGCCAAAGTAAAGAATTGAGTATAAAAACTTACTAATGACACCACTTACAGTATTCACATCCGCACGTACAGCACTTTACCTAGCTAGTCGCTAACTTTTTTTCGTAATATCATCGAATGACATTACTGGATGGATGTCGCGCCCGCTTTTATATGAGGCAGCAAGCGGGCCTAGTACTTTCGAGAATGGAGACTGTGCCCTTTACTGCCCCCTATAGGCCTACAGCGTCCACAAGGGGGCGCTCTAACCTAGTCCTTCTCAGAGCATGTCACCAATTTTTTTAAATGAATCACCTTATATCGTTTCGAATGTTCCACCAACTTACATACAATGGTACAGACGAGCTTCCATTGCCGCCCTCACATGGTTGAGAATCTTGGGAGTTATTTCTCTGCAATGCCTCATTATATTCTCTCTCAAATCATCTAATGTTGTTGATTCTATTTCATATACTCTAGACTTCAAATGACCCCAAATCTACTAGTGAGATCCGAAGACCTTGGTGGCCATTCTGTGGGACCTCTTCTGCCAATTCAGCGACCAGAAACATGATCATCCAAAAATTGTCGCACTGGAGCTGCATAATGAGGAGTTGCTCCATCCTGCTGAAAAATTATTTTGTTTTCGAATAAATTTATATCCTCCTCAATTACCCTATTGATACACGGTATTATTCGATTGTTCAACATATCCAAATATTTATCACTGGTCAAATTATCATCGCTAAAAAAAAAGGTCCTATGATGTGGTCACCTAAAATTCTCTCCCAAACATTCACTTTTTGAGGTAGTTGGGTATGAACTTGACGATTTAAATGAGGATACGTTTCCCTCCAATATCGACCATTTTGCCGATTCACCTCTCCATTCAAACTAAACGTACATTCATCCGAAAAACAAATTTTATACAAGAAATTTTGATGCAAGTTGATCCGTTCAGTGTACGACTGATTTCTAATTCTCGAGATAACTAAGTAAGAGATTGCGAATTTTCCATTAGCCCAACGTGCCCTTAAATTGCAGTACGAATAGATTCATCGATGACAACTCCTGAACAGGAGTGTTAACAGATCCAGTTTCCATAAATTTGTTCAATAATTCCGAAACGTATTTGTGTCATACATTTCTTCCTGAGAATATGAGCATCAGGCACATGTGCAACGTCTTCCATTTGGAAGATTCTTCGCAAGTTTCTTCCCACTATGAAGAAGCATAAATTAATTTCATCTGGACGGTACGACCAACCGATAGACCGGTTTCGGGGTACTTGCCCCATCATCAGTACCGGGTAGGTCTAGCAGACGTTGGACAGGTTTTACTTCAGCTTTCTGCTCGGCATTAGCTGAGTTAGTTGTTGTTTTTCCGTCGGATATCTACCACACGTACCTACAAAGTCGAAGGTCTACAGGAGAGGCAAGGGGTTAGGTGTTTTTCACCTGAACCTGGAGCATGTCATATGTACCTTTCCGGAAAATAATTATATACATACATTTCACTTATAAATGTAAAAGTCACTCACTTGGAATGTATATATGTATGTATACATATGTATATATGTATATATATATATATGTATATATGTATGTATGTATACTATGATACATCTCTTAATTTCAGACGCATTCTAGACAGTTCCAGTTTTGCCCATATTCAAAAGACCATCGAAGACATCAGACGTAATCTTCACTTTACCAACTTGTCCTCATATCAATGTCATAGACGGTTATCAAACACTCAGAAGGAAAAGCTGGCATCACTCATCACTTATTAAAAACCCCAGTCAGTCACATTCGACCCCCCAGTCCTAGTCCAGTTCTCCAATACTCCATTGGACGATAACACCCATATAATAGTCAAAAGGCTGCAACTCCTTGGCCTCTTTGAGTGTGCTGGCAGACAATGAACACAGACAACAACAGCTGAACACCATCGAGACAACTCAACGAATGAATGACTACTCAGAGAAAATTCTAAAAGCGGCTTCCAAGATCATACAGAAACAATAGAAAACCAAAGATACACCGGTCATAACAACCATACTACCATATATTGCAGGAACCATAGACAAAATTCTCCACCCACATAACATAGCAACATCATTCGTACCAGAACGTACAATGAAAACTTCTACTCTCGAACAATCGGAGAGGCTATCGAAATTTGAAAACGACCTAATAGTATGAACAAGAGAGATGACGCGCAAAGATTACCAGCAACATGGAGATCCATCTTATCACTCCACAAAATCAAGTTCAATTAGTGGATATGATATACATGAATAAAGGGGAAATTCATGGACAAAACACTACAAAAATATTCGAACCGTAGACACGTGTTTCTAGCTCATTAGTTGTCATCAGTACGGTATATCCAAGTGCAAGGTTAGGTAACACTTGGTTGCAGGAAACAACAGAAATGCACGGAGACAGCAACAGAAGCCAGTTGCACTTTACGGTTTTGGTTAGGTCACCTCGGGTTGGCGATTTTACTAGTCACTACGGAGGCAGCTTTAGCTACTTGCGTGACGTTTGGGTGTAGTACAATTGACTGTCATTATTAGCCACCTGAGGCAAATTCATGCACACAAATGGATTATATATTTAGCAGCTAATCATTCAGGATAGCCTTTTTGAGATTCTTCTTCAGATAGCAAACAGATAAATTGGGATATTCGGAATGCATTTTAGTTGGACTGATCGTACTAGTCTAACTGATGAAGCGAAACGCGTCTCACATAAAATTTATTGCAAAAATTCTATTATCATTCTATTGACAGCTCGAAATTAATTATATATCAGAATAATGATTTAACCATCTTGAGAAAAGCCCGATATGAAATCAATTGGTGTTTACAGAACTTAAATTTAATTATTTGCTTGTCCCACTCATTGTACCATTTATTAAAGTACATCAAAAAAAAATTGTAATATTCCTTGTAATAAACAAGAACATAATAAATATAGGATGAAGAAAGTAACTTTTTTCTAATATATTTGTCATCATCTGGCGATTATTGTTAAGTGTTCGGAAGTCCTCTGACCCTACTCGGATGACTTCTTACTGTGCAGGTACAATGTTGTCGTTCCATAAATACCGTTCTTGATTACCTAAGTTAGGTACCTGTATGTTTTGGTACCTGAGTTCTTCTTCTTCTCGATATGACCTCATCATTGGAAAAATGTTGATTATTGAAGTGAAAAGTGTCAAAGAAAGAGGAATAAGGTGTAAAGGTGACCTAGTGAATGAATGCATGTGTTTTTAAATAGTTCATTTTGTGAAAAAGAAGGCTGAAAAGTTGCCCTTTTCAGAACTTTGAAGGGCCGTAACATTGTAAATAAGGGAGAGCGCCGTTTTATTCTTTCGGATTCGTAATCTACGCATCAAAATACGCAAGTACACGCAACATTTTTTTCAAAATCGCCGGATGTCCACAAAACGAAAATTTACCGAAACCCTGTATCGAGTGTCCGCCTCTGACTTTACTTTGCAAAATGTCATTCAGCGGAAATAAGAGAGACGTAATGCATATGTTAAAAAATGTAGGAATGTTTCGTCTATTTAGGTAACCTCCAAGCTCCTTATTAATTGAAGGTTAGGAAAGTGATAATAAACATCAAGTATCGTTACTTTTCTCTTTATCAAATTCATTTATCAATATATTTAGTATATCAGACAGATACTTGAACTATGGAGACGTTTTTCGAAATTTTCAATTGATTGATCATTTGACTGAAGAAAATTGAGTAAAATTTTCATTTTTAAATAATGTCGTCCGTCGTATTAGGCGGTGGTTTAGCGGGTCTTTCAGCGGCATATTATCTAATCAGATGCATACCAAATCATCCGTTGACCCTAATTGAGGCTTCACATAGGTTAGGAGGTTGGATTAAGTCAAATACTCTGGATGACATACTATTTGAACAAGGTCCAAGGACGATTAGACCACATGGAATATCGGCAAGAAACACTTTAGCTCTTATAGAGAACTTGGGATTGACTGATGTTGTTATTCCAATAAATTCTTCACATCCTGCAGCTAAAAACCGAATGATATATGCTAATGAAAAACTTCATTTATTGCCAACTTCTATAAAAAGTTTATTCAAGAAGCAAGACCCTTTTTCTAAACCTCTTATTTGGTTTTTGCTTAATGATCTTATCGCCCCTAGGAAGAATGTAAAAGACGAGTCCATCTACGATTTCGTCAATAGGAGATTTGGAAAAGAATTTGCAGATTATTTGATAAGTCCTTTGATATGTGGCATTTGTGCAGGGAATGCTAAAGAAATAAGTGTCAACTTTTTGATGAAAAATTTATTTGAGTATGAACAAAAATATGGAAGTATATTTAGAGGGTTAACAAGAAGTGTCTTCAGTAGGAAAATTCTCCAAAAAAGTGAACTCAGTCAATTAGCTTTGAGAGCTCGAAAAGAGAAATGGAGTGTTTACTCTTTAAGAGGAGGTATTGAAACGTTGGCAAAATCCCTCGAAAGTCACATCAGAAAAAATAACATCAACATTGAACTTGATTCCGAGTGTGAAGAAATTGAGTTTTTTTCAGATAATGTCATACTGCAAATGAAAGGAGGGAAAAATATTTCAGCCACCAATGTTATAAGTGCTTTGCCGTCTGCCAAGTTAGGAATTGCACTTCAAAAACAGTATCCAGAATTGTCAGAATTATTACAGAAGATCAAAAGTGTCACTGTAGGTGTTGTTAACCTTCATTACAATAAGAAATTAATAAAAAATGAAGGTTTTGGTTACTTAGTTCCACCAAAGGAAAAACTGCCTATTCTAGGGGTCACATTTGATAGTTGTTGTTTCCCAAGAGGAGAAAACACTGTACTAACAGTTATGATGGGTGGACCCTGGTTTGAAGAACTATTCGGTAGTGACCCGAATGAAGAAGTACTTTTGAAAACTGCAACAGATCAGTTGAAAACCACACTTGGTATTGTAGATGAACCTGTGAACTCAAAGGTGAATATTTTGAAAAACTGTATTCCTCAGTACACAGTAGGACACAATGAAAATTTGGAAAATATCAACAATTATATTCACAAACATAAATTACCACTATTTTTATGTGGTGCTTCCTACTATGGTGTTGGTGTGAATGATGTTATTCTATCCTCAAAAAATGCTGTTGATAAACTAATTCATTAATACAGAATGTTCGACTTCAGGTGAATAAATTTTACTGATGTTTTCACTGTCTTTTATGTGACTACATAATATAATTATGAACCGTTTCTGATTTGAAACAATAGGAGAATATTGTTAAAGAAGGGTCATATAACTCTTTTCACTCCACGATTGATTTATTGATTACTTGAAAGGTCAAAATGTAACTTTTGCTTTCAATGTGAATAAGTTGAATGAATAGACTTCTCAACATAGTACCCCGATCAATTTAAAAATTGGTTTTTCAGTATATATTCAAATTTGAACATGAAGTTGGTTAATAATACAAAAATGGGTTTCATGAAAAATGTTCATCATGCGATTGAAGGAGTACATATTAGATACAGTAATGGATCACTGACTCGCATACAATTTTTTTAAAGTTGAAAGTATCTAATCAGATTAATTTAAGAATATTACACTTCCAAAAACCTGTGTCACCTTACAATGAAAATGCATTTCCAAATACCTAGTCTTGATTTATAAAAACTTCAGTTAATAAATTGGATCAAAACAAACAGTGAAAGCTGAATAAAACCTGAATAATTACCAAATAACTAGTTTAGAAATGATAATTAGTTCAAGTTGTTACCTTTTTATTCATGAATTGAGTTACTCAGTTCATACACCTGAACAGATTTTACTTGTGACTCGCCTAGTTTGACTTCAAATTATTTACAAATTTGTTCAGAATTTTTGTTCAATGTTTCCCCTCTTTTGTGGTTTATACCAGAGTCGAGAATGAAAGTACTTGGAGCTGTTGACAAAACAAAATTGAAAATTTATTGCGAAATTTGGTGCACTATTGAAAATAGTGTTGAAAACAGGCGAATTTTGTTGAAAGTCGAAGCTTGGCATTGCAACAGATCGATTTGGTGAGCAAGGGGGGATACCATTTCTTTTACTTACTGAGGCTTGTCCTTTATCGATGTTAGATCACAAATGCTTTGTTTCTGGGGTCTCATTTCAACTAGTGAACATTTCTTTTTTTAATGCTTTAACAAAACGATTTTCATTTAATCTGAAATTTTTTATTTGCAAGTTCATTTAACAGTTAGCACTATGTAATCAAAATCTTATTAAGTTCGAAGCTATCCCATCTGGAAATATGGAGAAAATTGTCATGAAGAATAAAAATACATGATTTTATAAAAAAATTGTATTTCAATCTATCTAGATTACAAACGTTCATATTTTGTCTACATCAGTGTTTCATTCATAGAATGAATAATACTGAAATTTAAAAAAATGCCTGAATATGTTTGTATTCTACAAGCCTTATACTTCACATTCTACCTTGATGACTTTCCAATACACACAATTGAAAAAATATCCAGCTCTAACGTGAAATCTATCACCTGTGTCATATATAGAAGTCATAAAATTAGGATTCTTCTATTTATTTGAAAAGGAAACTTTTAATTTTCATGAAAAAATAAATTATCCCACTAAGGCATCTTTACCTAGAAACAAACAATCATGAATAAATGATAAGGAAGGAAAACATTATCAACTCAATCAAGATGCATCTAACTAATAAAGTCAAACACAAATTGATGATCTCTAATAACAAAACCACTTACACAGAGGAATATAAACCAAATAGGTTATTTTATTCTACTGATGAAGATTTATTTGTTTGCAACAAAACATATGTTGAATTCATCAAAAGAAATTTATTCAACAAATGTCACTTTGCTCCCCTGGGGAGGGCATAAAATATAAAATCTGCATCAGAGTAAAACATTTTTCATGCAAATTAAAAGTAGGAAAGGATGTCTCTGATTATCATAAACATTGGCAATCTTATGATAATAATCACATGTATAAGTAGTACAACAAATAAACAAAAGACTCATAATTTTTCAAATTGGTATAATATTTTTTATATGTGACAAATACTAGTGGAAAATAAGCAATACCATCAGGTATATTTTGATTTTCAAACGATTTCGTGGTAAAATATTCTTAATGTCAAAGCACCAATAACAATTGGTCAATTGGTAATAAGTCAAGTGCCAGTTTTAGAAAATTTTGTTCTAAATTGAGTCCATGTGCCATTGTCAATGATCTCATAAATACTCTAAAAGCTTCTGCATTGGGAACTATGTGAACTATTACTTCCTATCAATTCCAACAATTCTATCAACCATACTTCATTAACGTTCAAACAATTTGCGCAATCTCAGGCTACCTATATTCGATTAGGAATTTTTTTATATTTTTTATGTTGGTACACTCGTCTCGAACAGTTTCAGCTGTTTAGCATTTTTAGTTTGTTCGGCGGTGTTATGCTGTCGAAAAAAAAAAGGATCAAAGAATTTGTGTAAAAAATGAAATTGGGTGCTCAAAAACCCTTGAAATGTTGACCGTGGTGAGAAAGTGAAGAAAATTTTTATGTAGAATTGTCGACTCAGTATTAAAGAAGTTGCTAAGGATGTCGGCATATTGGTTGACTCAGATTTTTTTATAACAGTCATAACTGGTGATGAATCATGAATATATGACATCAAAAGCAAAGCTCAATTGTCCCAATAGAAGAACCCAGGAGAGCCGAAATTAAAAAAAGTAAGCCAAGTTTGATTAAATGTAAAGGTTTTGCTCACTGTTTTCTTTGATTACCGTGGCATACAGCATCAGGAGTTATTGACACATGGTCGTACTATCAGTCAGAAGTGTTTTGAAGATTGGAAAAAAGCTGACACATGGATTATCCAAATTTACATTTTTAATTGAAAAATTATGCAACTATCAACAACATGAAAAGAAATAAGTATGTAGTTCTACAATATACATATTCTCAACTATGTATGTTTCTTTATATTGTCTTAATGTACACACTCAGTTCTCATTTTACAAGAACTTTATTTCTTATTTTATAAAAATGTTGCAAATGAAGAAATAGGGTGCTTCAGGACGAGATGTGATATGTTGATAAAAATTTTAGAGGCATTTGATGTAAAAAATTTATGAAAAAATATTGGAATGAATGTTTACACATAGCAATCATTCTATCAAAATGTAATCATCCAAATTTGTAAAGGATATTATGCACTTTACAGTATCAATATCGCATGGGTTAAAAAAAACAAAAACTAAATAAATGATTACATGTATTTGAAAATCTCAAAGAATTTTTTTATTGCTTAACGAAGTACAGGACTGAGGATTAAGATAAATTTATTGAAAACTGAATTTTTTAAAATAGTTGAGAATATCACAGTTGTATATATATAAACATAAGAAAAATGTGCGTGCTAACTTCTCGAAGGCAACTAAGTTTTTACGTTACCTGCAAATTTAATTTCATCAAAAGCTTTTCTAGCCCTTTTCAATTCTTCATTCATAGTCAATAAATCTTTTACTCTAGCATATTTACGAGGATCTTTTCGAACCAAAAACACAATGTCTTCCACTTGTACTCTTCCTGTTCTGCCTATTTCCATGGCCCTAAAAAATTAAAATCATTACTACTGTGATAGTTACTCTTCTAGTTAGTCAGAGACGGTTCATTAGACCTGGTTGGAAACTTGAAGAAGTAGTACCTCTCATGATTACTACTTTGTTTACTATTCCTCAAGACATTTCAAGGACAGTTTTGCTAGTGATGTGTTTGTAGATAAAAAACATTTCTTCAGACAGATTGATTTTTTCACCTTTAAACACTCATTTTCAATCCATTTGAAATAGAAATCTTTAACATGAGGAACAAGAATTATAAAGCTTTTGTAAGAATATCTAACAAGTGATAATATGAATTTAATATTTGTCACAGAGGTGGAGATGACTTATTTGAAAGTGAGTATGCAAATTGAATCGCAAGAAAAAAACACAAAATATACACTGCAACCTGACATGGTTCATTGTGGCTCACACCTATTCCAACTTCCAATTCAATCATATAAATCCACCTTTCCTAACGTATCCAATTACTTCATTTGGTGTGTAATCTTTTAAACCGGACCGGAATGTGTAGTTATGAAATTGTACCTGAGGACCATCTTCTGAAATAGCCATAATGGCATAATGAAGAAATTTCAGTTGATTGGATGATATTGAAGTTTGTCAGATGTTTAAGGTGCAAGATTCTCACCTTAATCAGCAACAATCTTGAAAAAAGTTGATTCTACTACTGCGAGGTTAGGCAGTCATTCAAGTGCCCGATAAAATTAATAATATATTCTTCATTACAATCCAATCACTGTTAGTAAATAAGTGGGAGTGAAGTATATTCCAGATAAGAGATGAAACATCACAAACAGCAATCCCAAATTCATAATGAATTTTCAAACATTTTGTTCTCAATCAAAACAAACGAATGATCACAAATTAAATTTGATGGATATCTTACTTGTGGGTCATCTCAGTTATAAATTCAATAACCAAATCCTCTATAATATCTACACTTTCAGTATAGGGATTTTGGTCATCTCCAAATCCATACATCATACATCTTAGTTCCTTGCTGAATAGTCTTTTTCGCCCCGAGCTACAGAGGACAAGTGCAGTATCTGCAGCATCATCTTCTTCAAACTGAAACATAGTAAGGAGTTCCATTGCAATACGGGTGGAAATAGCCAGATATGGAAATAAATTACCTGTTCGTATGATTCTTCTTGAGATGCCATACTGAAAATAGTGTATTATAATAAACAAATTGGGTACCTTAATATTCTTGCGTAAAGTCGAATGAAAATAACAACATAACCACAATGAAAATCTCTTAGACAAGAAAAAGCTCACAGACCATATACCCCACAGACCATCTGTGAGAAAGCTACTAACATAACCCTTTATTTCCTTTCTTCTTCTTCCCTTTCGTATTTCTTGGCTTCGAGCACCAGGGCATCATTTCCATTCTTAACGTCAATAATTCGAGGGGACCGTTGCCGCAAGTTGGCGGTGTAAAACTCAGAAAAAGGAAATAAAATGTCAACACATATTTTGTATTGACATTTCTGCCGAATACCATATTCATTACAAATATTTTCTCATAGTGCAGGTATTTCTATGAGGTAGACGATTTTGCGAAGACAATCCACAAAGTTCTTTCCTCACGGAATGAGATCAACTAAAGGTATCTCCAAAGAATGATGAGAATAGGTGATGTGTGTACAGTTGGAAAGCAGGGTAGTTTTGTTTCTGAAAACTATCGGTATAAAATATTTTTTTAAATCCAGTTGTAGAGGTTTGTATGGACTTTGAGAATTTTGTACGATGAAATATATTTTTCAATTCTTCTCACATTTCTTGTACACAGTGTACAATCATCTCTGTTGCAGTTTTCATTTCAGACACGGAAAAATTATTGATTGATTGCTTGATTTTTAGTATGCTTTTCCATTTCTTCACTAGTTTCGGTTGCCAAGGAGAGCTGTGCGTACATATATTTGCTGATACATTGGTTTGCTGGACAATATATATGCCATGTACGAGTAATCGTGAAGAGCTGACTCGACTTTTTCTATAGAATATTACAATACCTGGCTAATAAGACATCTCTAAAATATCACATTGTGATATAGACGTTGACATGACATCTATCAGAGATATTATCCCGAGGAAAGCGGCAGATGTTTTTGCGATATTGCAGTAACTGTTTGATGTCAAGATGTTCTGTATGAAATGAATCTATATCCATATAATATGGAATCAAGAGTTAGATGTGGAGAAGATATGGTAAATATTCGTTTTGAAGGCACACGCCGATATTGAAAAAATATTCGAGTGTACTTACGTATTTTGATGCGTAGATTACGAATTCGAAAGAAAAAAGCGGCGTTTTTCCTTATTTACATAGTTACGGCCCTTCAAAGTTTAGAAAAGGGCAACTTTTTCCAATAAAAACGTTTTTTAGTAATATATCTCTGTATTTTACGTTTTTAAGGTTAATGGCATAGTTGGTACGACTGATACAAGCATTCCTTTTCAAATTAAGTTTTTTATTAGGAAAATGTTGATTGTTGAATTGAAAATTGCCAATTAAGGAGGAATAAGGTGACCTAGTGAATAAATGCTTGTGTTCTCAAATAGTTTATCTTGTGAAAAAGAAGGCTGAAAAGTTGCCCTTTTCTAAACTTTGAAGGGCCGTAACTTTTTAAATAAGGGAGAGCGCCGCTTTTTCCTTTCGGATTGGTAATCTACGCCTCAAAATACGTAAGTACACTCAAACATTTTTTCAAAATCGTTGGGTGCCCTCAAAACGAATATTTACCGAAGATTTAATTAATTTACATCATCCACTGCAAGGTAATTGACTTCTTCGTGATATTACATTGAGTAATAGATATCGATGGGATATCTGTCAATACGAAAGCGTTATACCTGTGAATTTACATTAATTTGTGTGGACATTTTGTACTTGGCACGACAGGTATCAGAACCTTACATTTATTGTGAATTTATTTAGTATATATGATTATTAATGAAACGAAACTTAACCTGTAATCTACTTAACTGAAGTTAAATTCAACTAGTACAACTGGAACTTGAAAAACATCACATATTGAAATTATTCAGTTCTATATAGAATTAGTTAAGTTAGGTTACAGGTTAGAATTTGTTTTCATTAACTAACATCGATTACACCAAGTGCAAAGTGTAGATGTGATGCTGTTGCGGTCTGCAGATTTACGGTTATAATATTCAATTCTACAATTTAGAGTTTTAACTGTAACAGTTACAAGTGTGAATCCCGAACAAATTATATTATAGATTTTTGTGGCTCTCGTCCGCTTTCGTAAATTGATAGTTTTAAGAAAGTAAATTTGATATTTCATTGGAGGTATGAAATTTTTCACTTTTTTGTATCCATGACATTCATTGCAATCTGTAAGCACCAGATATTTTATGTTTGAATTATCCATCTGCATTTGCTCAAATTCATTGTTGAGATTGGTTAAGAGCACAAAATTAAGAGTGGTGAATGATTGATATTGCATCGCGCCTTTACAATAGTGCGCTTCATCACCTTCCGTGTAAACACAGTGGTAACGTTATCTACACATTCTCTACAAAATTCATACGATAAACATTCGTTCTCATGTGAATCGTTGATTGTTGTTCGATGATGAGATTGTGATTCAGACATCGGATGACGAAGCTATGGGTATGCAGCCTAAGAGTAGGAAAGGTAAAAATGTAATATTAGTTTCCATGGAGTAAGATCAAACAATGATGAATTCATTGATATCCTTTCAATGTCTTAGCGAATTCGGATATCTGCATTTAGAGTTATTTTATAGAACAAACCTCAGAGTAACAAAAAACAATTATTACTCTTAGGAACAAACAGATACTGTGAAACAAAATATAAACGCCGATTTTACTTTTGTGAAATCTGTTTACCGAACGTGACGCAAAACCAGTGATGCCACATGTCAGACTCATAATATAAAACCAAAACAATAGTCGAATGTAAGGCATTGAAGAGTATAGAATATTTTGAAACATTATTTTTAATAATAATCTTTTATAAAAGATGGTTTCAACTCGAGGAATAAAGTTTAAATTTTGTGAAGGAGAGAGAGTTTTATGTTATGAACCCGATCCCACGAAAGCTAAAGTTTTGTATGATTCAAAAGTAAGGATACTTTAAACTTTCAATATATACCCATGGTAAATCACAATCAATATATATTTTTTTTGAATTAGGTTTTAGACGTTGTTGCCAACAAGGATCATAAAGGGAGAAAAACAATAGAGTATCTCATACATTTTCAAGTAAGTATTTTTCCTTTTAGTAACTCATTTTCTCTATATGTTTAACATTTAGGGATGGAATTCTTCTTGGGATAGGTGTGTTGGTGAAGAATTTGTTTTAAAAGATACCCCTGAAAACAGGCAGCTGCAGAAAGATCTGGCAGAAAAATCTCAGTTGCAGCTGTAAGAACATTTCAGTTGTTTTGAATGTAATGTTGACAATGGCTTCTTATTTTAGAGGTGCCTATTTATACAGAAAGGAAAGAAAGAAAAATAGAAAACCTGGTGATAGGCCTTCAGCTTCAGAAGATGGTAGTTCAAGCAGTCCAGGTAGAATGGATACTGATGATGGACAAGATATTACAAGCAGTTCTGAAGATGATTCTTCAATGGAGGATGACATGATACATATTGAATTGACTCCACAGATTAGGGAATTGTTAGAAAATGACAATTTTTTCATCAAGGAAAGAAATAAAGTTAGTCTTGCTTATTATATCTGAAATCATGGAGGTTTATATTTTTGTATGAGGATTCCAACGGCTTTCGAGAAGTCAGTGACAGTCACTAAATTATCAACTCCTAACATGTTGAGGACCACCGCATGCACTACAAAGTGGGTCAAAAAGACCCACTGAGAATTGCTTTCGAAACCAGTAAATGATTTAAAATAGGAAAAAAATTATTATAATTCCTCAGTATTGCACTAAGGCAATTTGTAGTGACACTCTAATATGTCATTACAAATTATGTGGCAATGATTTGGATGCTTACTTTAACATTACATCTCACTATAGGATCATCTCTTATAAGAAAGAACAACTAACATTTCCTCACCATTTCCAAAGGAATAATTGTTCAAGTTTTATAGTTTTACTTTCAATAAAATTTGGTTATCAAAATATTGATCATGACATTGAAAATGCAGTATAACAAAAAAGGTGTTATAAAAATCATTGATGACTTGGGGAGAATAGAAGTATCTCAAATAACATCAATTTTATATCAAATACAGACAAGTAAGGCTACCTGAGTTAATTTTTCCATATGCATTTCTGGTTTTTAAATACAATGACTATTAAAATTGAATTTTTTTACTAATTAAAGAAAAATTGTTGACTTGTGTACAGATTGAAAAAGAAAGACATTTTTGTATAATTCAGGATCCATAAAGTTGGGTAGCTATTTCATTTGGACTCTTTTTCTAAAATTTTTTATGTAAAAGAATATCCGTGGATATTTTTCATTTAAAGACTGCTCAAATAAAGAATAAAGCTGACAAAAATTCATTTTACCTCACTGGAATTTCAATTGATAATGGTCAGAATTATTTCTACCCAAGATTTGTAATTCAGATAAAATCTTGAAAAATGTTCAAAGGATAGAATAGATATTTTGATCCAACTCATTTTTGGTCAAATCTTATCTAGATTCCAGAAAAAAAGTCAGTTATTTCAGTTTTCATGATATAAATAAGCAAGTATGTTGTGAATATTCGAAAATTACATATTTAAGTTAAATTTAATATACTCAAAGTTCCATTATTTGATTTCAATTTGATTACATTCTATTTTAATTTGAAAGGTAGGATCGAAACCTCTGAAGTAGAACAAATCTGAAAGAAAAATTTCTCTCACGTACCAGAAAAGTAACACTTGAGGCGCCGACCAAGTAGGCATCTTCAGGAATTTGAATCATTTATTGATAACGTCAACTTGATTAGCGAAAAGAACTGATGTGTGGAAGAAGCGTTTTAGTTGAATTTCATTTCAACACCTCTAAAAACCTTGAAAATAACTAAAAATATACAGATTTGGAACTTGTCTTTGATGAAATTTTCTTCAATTATTTTATTTCTGAGATTTGATGTATCTTTTGTTTTATTTTTGCTTGTAATTCCAGGATAAACATCAGTTTTTTATTATGAATTGGTAAAATTGACTTGAATAAGTGTTAGCAAAATCAATTTGAAGTAGTTTTTTTGTAAATTTTTTATAGTTGATGAAGTTGCCTGCTGAACCAAATGTAGTAACGATTTTAGAATCTTACTATAGACATTATGCAACTAATCAGATATGTGGATTAACTGAGACTCCTGCTGTAAGGTATAGGCCTTCTCTTGTGAACCAAAATCCAATCAAAGCCAAACCTGAAGATATCCAAAAAAAGTAAGGAACATCCTTCAAATAAAATAACAAATAACTGTGAATGTCATGAATTTTCAGCCTAAAACTGTGTAGGGAAGTAATGGATGGACTAAGAATATACTTTGATTTCACCATCAATGATCTACTTCTGTACAAACCTGAACAAGGAAAAGTAAATACTATGCAGGCTGTGTGTGAACCAGTCAGAGCTGAAGTTAAAAATGAGTGAGTTGAAAATGAAAATTTCTTGAGAAATTTAATAAAATGGTTGTATTTCAGAATCAAAACTGAAGATGAGTACAATAATTCAGATAACAGCTTGAATAATGGGAATCATTCCATACAAAATGGAAATGATGGTGGTAAAGTTAGTGCAAGAAGACGTACTTTGAGATCAAATAGAAGTGATTCACAAACCAATGGTAGCTCATCTCCACAAGAAATACATTGTAATAATAATATTAAACCTGCATCCAGGTTAGTTTTGAATTACTTCGTTTTTGTTTGACATGACTGGTGAATTTTAAATGAGGTATACTAATTTTCAAGTGGAAATAGATAACAGACTTGAATAGTAATGGTTTTATATATTCAATTAAATTAAGATTTAAATTAGGAGAGAATGTTATTTACCAAATGTATATCTAAATATGTAATCAAAAGATTATAGATACTTCAAAAATTATTCTTTGCTAATCTATTTAAGTTTTATAAAAATATTATTTTCCAAATGTTGTCGCTATCCAGTTGAAAATCATCTAAACATTCATTTACTATTAACCATAGTTGTTACTTGTGCAAAAGATGGGATAGAAATGATCAAGGAATATCAAATTCTTAAGAGGCTTCGATGAAGAAAAATCAAGGTCTAAAAATTAAAAAGATTAGCTGGAAAAGAACAATTATATCAAGCAAAAAAACTGAAATTACAATGAAATAAAATACAAGTAACATTAAAAAAATTGAACTATTAACACGAGATGAAAATTAAAAATTAATAACAAGAAATGAAAATTAAAAATTGAAAGATTTCAAGCCAAGTTACTTTACGACAATTCGATATTTTTATTTGGTCGAGTGTGAACAGGTGTGAGCCACAATAAAACCATTCACTTTCGACCTAACCTAACCTAACCTTGTACAGGCCATTTCTTGGATGTTTGCTCATATTCTTCTTCATATAATTATTTAGGTTGCTAGTAAATTGTTTACATATTATGATACGAGGCATCACATTCACATGAAACATGGTCTATATCCAAGGTGTCTGCAACATTTTGTTTGGGTGTCTTCTAAAGGAATAGTGTCCAGTGAATAGTCCTGTAATTATTTCATCTCCATATGTTGAAGCAATTTTTAGCACTTTTCTCAGATTGTCCTTGATGAAGATTATTTTGTGTTTTTGGGTATTATTTCAGAGCTCTTTATATTTTTTATTGTTCAATAACTTGGGGATCCTGAAACCCATTATACAGTTGATCTATTACTGTTCACTAATTTCTTCACAGCCTAATCTCATTGCCACCCTTGGATTCATTGAAGCGCAGAGTTCAGTCCAGCTGTCTAAAAGTATATTTAGTTATTCATTTCATTGAGGTCTAAAACTAATATTGCATACTCTTTCTCCTGGAAGACTGAGCATTTAGCATCACTACCCACTTTGACTTTTTGCTATGGAGCTATATGAAGACTGTAATTTATGAGCACTGTTTTTATGAGTACTGTTATGCAGATGTGTGCAAACTAAGTTGAAAAATACTTGAGCAGTTCAAAAACAGGTACAAGTGTTACATTTTCGATCAAATACTGAAAAGACATTAACTATTTTGGATGGTTATCTCCAATACTCTACTCACAATTCTTATTATTTCACTTTATAGATGAAGAACATATAATGGGAGTAACATGTTCCACTGTAAAAAATATGAAATCTCCGTTAGAAAAAAGGTATTTTTGTGTACTTCGGTTCTCACAATCAAGAGTACCTGTAGAGTGCAGTACTCAAGATGCCCAAAGTATTTCTTGGTATAGTGCTTTCAGAGATATATTGAATTGACATTTAGAACCTTAATTGTGAAAACAGCAAGTAGATATTATTATAAACCCAAATAAATCCCGCAGGTTCCTACTCAATTTGAATTAAAGTGATATCTTCAATTACAACTTCTGGGCAAAAGCCAGTTTGGTATATATCTAGAAATACTACAGCTCATTCAAATTGTACACTATACTATTTCAAAATTTTATTGTGAAGTCAATTCTCACTTCACAATATAATTTGGCTATAAGATGATTTGATTACCCTTTTCATTTAATATTTGTTATATTCCAGTGTGGCTAGTAGCAATTCTGATATTACTGGACCTATGGCAAAAACATTGTCATGGAAAATTCTACCTGATTATGTATACAATCAACAGCCGCCACCCCCTTGTCTAGTTTATGGAGCTACCCATTTAACAAGACTATTTGTTAAATTGCCTGAGTTATTGATGGCTTCAAATATCAGTGATGAAAAATTAAAGGTGCTACTGGGACATATAGACCTTTTCATAGAGTGAGTATTTTTTCTTCTATTCTAGTTGTACTAGAAAAATCTTTGTAATTGAATGAGAAATTGAGAATTGTCTAATATATATTACTATAATTTTTTTTTAATAAAATCTGTTTATTGTATATGAATTGATGAAGGAGTTTTTACAAGCAATTAAAAATTAATCATTGATATATGACAAAATTGAATACATTGTCACAAGTAAGGAGTAAACATTTTCAAAATAAAATAACACCGAGAAATTTATTTAAATGGGTATTCTTTTATAGAAACTATTTCAACCACCATCAATATCGTCAAGATAAAGTAAGACACTCCGTTGTTGATTATTTATGATTTCCGATTTCATAATGGAATGAATTGCAATAGTGAATAAGAAAATGATAAGAAATATATAATGAAGAAATAATGAATACTCCATCATTTTTTCATATCATGTCCTGCCCTGCGATTAGAAAATTAATCTTCATATTTCTGTAAATTTCCCACTATTCTTGTGCCCACTATTGAGAAATAGGAAGTAACTCAGTGATTTTCCATAGCCTTGAGAGAAATTAGGTAGAAAGACGAATTTGGACTTTTGTTCAGGTTCACCAATATGAAGAAGTTGCTATTGAAGTTACTTTCACATCAATAACCATTTTAGTTTTCTTTCAGAGAAATTTTAATCAGTATTTAATTGAAAATAAAGTTTTTTTCAATAACTGGTATTCATATATCTCACTTATAGCAACACAAAATGAAAAATCAATATGAAATCTTGATCTGTATGAGGGATGGAAATCAGAAGGTAGTATATAATTTAGATATACTNGGATAGGATCAACAGAATGATTGATAGATTCTGTGACTACATTTCTTGATTAATTGTGATATATTCATTCAGTTTTAGGAACCAGATCAGCGAGAGAGAATAGACTAAAATAATAAATCAAATTGTTCATCATTTATTACATGAATCTTTGTAAATGCTTCTTCAGTAGAAAACGTTTGCCTGATATGTATCTAATATCGAAAATTTACTTGAACTAAAGATGAGGTGATATGAAAATGCAGCATGATATGAAATCACTTTCAGCCTGTACTTCAAACATTCGTTATGGAATAGCAACAGGCATGCTACAAAACTTAGTATATGAAAGAAATTTGAGATAAAATTTCACTTACATGGAAATTATCATCCCTAGGTGTGTGTACCTCTAGAAATTTTTGGCAGAAAACATTTGTCTTCAACTCGCCATCAGCATTTTTTTGGATAACTTCAAAGATAAAACATTAATTTTTTGATAAATATCACGACTTTATGCCACCAGATGAGACCTTCTGCTCATAATTCGTTAAAACATTCATTCGTAGTAAGTTAAAATAATTCCGGCCATAGGCATTTCGTTCAACATAATTATTTTTTTTGGAAAACAGCCTTTTGGCTTTCTGCTTCTTCATGTAAAAAATGTGGAAGAGAGGAATAAAGTAATTAACTTATTAAACTCTTCACAAAGTTGTCGGAAACTACTAGAGGTACAACTCTAATATTCTTATTAGTCAGTGGCAGTGAATAAATTGCTGTCTATATAGCAATTAATTTTTTAATTTATTGAGTAGTATCGCCTTAGAACTGTTGTAAATCATGCCCTAAAGAAAATAACGCCGGCCGCCACTGGTAGCCAAAAACCAACTGTGCCATGGTGAAGGCCGGTTGCAGCCTCGATTTTTCTAGTCTTCGCATCGGCTTCGATGGAATTTCGAGGAATTTTCTATGGCCTTCGATTGCCAAATATAAACACAATCCACTTGCCTATCGAGACAGTCAAGTGGAAGTGACAGTGTGGTAGGCAGTGTAGTCGATTTTTGGCAACCCACGGGGAAAAACGTAACATTTGGTGTCGGAAGTGTAATAATTGATTGAAAATTTTCTGCCATTTGGTGAAAACAAGGAGTGTTAATCTAGCCGAGATGTAAGAGTTTAAGAAAATGTAGAGGCTTTGTAAGCGGACCTGGCGGAGAATGAAAATCGTAGAAGAGAGGAAGATGAACGCATAAGAGAGGAAAGATAATTACGCCAAAATGAAGATGATGAACGCAGAAGAGAGGAAAGATAATTACGCCAAAATGAAGATGATGAACGCAGAAGAGAGGAAAGATAATTACGCCAAAATGAAGATGATGAACGAAGGAGAGAGGAAGAACGATTACGCCGCAATGAAGACCATGAATTACTAATAGAATTCAGAAAAAACCAGAGACTTGCAGGTAAATATTCTGGAAAAACAAGAGAGAAACAGATAAGAATATTCAAAAGAAACAAGAAAAAGACAAAAAGATGTACCTTCATTTATTTGAAGATTTAAAATCTTCCCAACAAAGATGGAGTTGTAAAAAGTAGTCGATGAGATGCTTGAGGGGGCTGAAAAGAAACTTGAAAAGAAGCTTGAAGGAGTCGAAAAAAATTGAAGAGGTTTTCCGGAAGGAGTCACGGCAACGCAGTTAGCTTCCCAAGGAGTCCATGCCTGACATCCGGATGCAAATTTTGCCAACGCCAGGAGGACAAAGATACCCAGTTACCAGAAGAAGAATGTTTCACCAGACGTGATAAGTTAACGGGCAGATACTCCTTTATGGACATCTCTGATAGGAAGATAAGCTCCCCTACCTCCCGCCGTTTCGGGTTTCATCTGACACGGAGGTAGCAACCTGTAAGGTTCTCTTGTCCAGGGATACGGACAGAAAATTTAAGGAATCGCCTAACCGTGGTGTGGTACGGTCGTTAACAGCCTCTGAAGGTGATATTACCTTCATGACGAGGCAAGACATCATGGTAGCGCAGAAGGAGGATCCGATCTTGAAAACTGTACAAGAATGGATTGACAAAGGAGTGAGGCCGGAGTGTCAAGGAATCTCTAAGTATGGCCAGCAGAAAAAGGGTTACTGGCTCCAATGGGACTCCATGTGCATTTGAGATGACCTACTCACTCGGAAATGGGAAAGCCTGGATGGAAGAACCCACAAATTCCAGATAATCCTTCCAAAGACGTGTATTCCAAATATCCTTGAACAACTCCACGATGGTCGCACTGGAGGGCATATAGGGGTAAATAGTACTCTAGCGATAGTTCGTGAGAGGTACTATTGGATCAATTGCCGTCGAGACGTGGAAGAGTGGTGTAACCGCTGTGACCTGTTCTCTTCGAGAGAGGGTCCGAAGATAAGGCAAAGAGGGAGGTTGAAGCAATACCTCAGTGGGTACCCTTTCAAAAGAATCGCAGTTGACATTCTGGGACCACTTCCTATGAGCACATCGGGTAACAAGTACCTTATGGTTGTGATGGACTATTTCTCCAAATGGCCTGAAGTAGTAGCCTCACCCGACCAAAAAGCTAAAACGGTGGCAGAAGCGCTGTTGCAGTACGTAATTGCCAATCACGGAGTATCCCAGAAACTACAGTCGGATCAGGGCCGCAACTTCGAATCGGATTTATGGAAGGAAATGATGACTTTGTTGGGAATAAAGAAGACAAGAACAACTGCTCTACACCCACAGTCCGATGAAATGGTCGAAAGGGATGATCGCACCATCAATAACTACCTCTCGATGTTTGTCTCTCTTTCTGTTGCCATACTGGAGCGAACTCCCAACATGACGCGACAGGTTACATACCATCCATGTTGTTAACTGACCGAGAACTGAAACTTCCGATAGATGTATTGTGTGGCAGCCCATCTGATGATTCTCAAAAGGTACCTATTTCAGAGTATGTGAATTACCTGAAGGAGAGACTGGTGATTTTCAAGGAGTGCGATGTAGTGTGGCTCTACCAACTCAAAAGCCGGGAAGGTTTGTGTCCCAAATTGCAGAGACCATGGCAAGGACCTTACTTGGTAACCAAACAGATAAACGATCTGGTGTACAGAATCCAATTGTCACCCAGAAGCAAACCTAAAGTTGTCCACATAGAGAGGCTGAGTCCTTACATCGGTCGTGATGTTCGGGGCGAACAACCTCAGGGAAGGAAGTAGTGTTGTAAATCATGCCCTAAAGAAAATGACGCTGGCCGCCACTGGTAGCCATAAACTAACTGTGATGTGGTCAAGACCGTGCGCAGCCTCGATTATCTTCGCAGAGGCTTCGATGGAATTCCGAGGAATTTTCTACGGCCTTCGATTGCCAAATATAAATACGATCAACTCGCTTATCGAGACCACGATACATAAGTAAACAGAAGTAAATTCACTCCCGTCGGTCTCTTTGATGTTTCGGGTAGAGATTTATTTTTTTTCTGGCATGTGGCGGGGGAGGAAGGTGTAGGCTAAGAACTGTTGTGCACCTCTGCACGAGGTTCGATAAAAAAATATGTGACCATGATCTGACTTCATCTACGAGGAGCTCCCAATAAATGTCTCATATGATTGTGAACTGTTTAGAAAATCATAAAAAATGATACAAGGTGGTTAATTAAACGTATATTTTATATAGTAAGATTATACAATTTAGGTCAAAAACTTATGCTAATATATTCTAAAGGTTTTTCAGAATGATGAGTTTTTGATTTTTCAACATTTGTTTTCAAATTTCTAATGGCAAATTTCAAAGTATAATAAATTCTTACCATTGTGAAAAGAGAAAATAAATAATCCAAAGGAAAATTATCACAAGGGTGAGAAATATTGATTTTTGAAAACATTGTTTTGAGCTGGTTGCCTATGCAATTAGTGGCACATAAATTGTTGAAATGATTAAGAAATTCTATCTCTAGATGAATGATACATTGTGAAAATGAATCTGGAGGCATATATAAACTTCCAAACTGTTTGGCTACTGTATTACCATATGCCTTGAAATGACTATATACATTTGTTTCATTTTGTGTGGTAGTAGCCGCCGTGGCAAAATTTGTACATACTTGTCATGAATGTTTTCTTAAATATTTTATCAAAAGATATCCACAAACATAGCCCAAGCTGTTGCCTTCTGGAGTGGCTAGAGTTCTATAATCAATTGTCTCTACTCTCAAAGGTTAATAGGGA